TATTTGTAACAGCGTGCAAGAAGGCAAGGCCGGTTGGCCTAATGGTAAGGCGCCAGTTTCCGGTATGTTTATGCCCCACAGCTGGAGATTGCATGTTCGAGTCCTGCACTGGTCGGCTTTTTTGCAGTTCTAACACATCGTTCCTATGGTTCGCGTGAATAACTGAATGTTATCATCACTGTATGCATCTCACGTGATACCAGGAGCCACCGCTCTACCCCACTTTGAGCCCGACTAAATCCACACGCATATCTATAAGAGAGAGAGGAGCAGGGACAAGGCACAATCTGCATACAGCCGAGGCATGCCGGGTGGATTGCTTGAGGTTGAGGAGCAGGAAAGATAAGGAGCTATACTGATTGGTACTAATTAATATGCTGAGCTCGCTTATCAAGAGGAGCATCGGCTAAGGAGACTTGAAGATAGGACCTGAACGTGATACTCCCGAGGAAGTCATTGGTCGACGAAGGCCTACATATATCAAATCAGCTGTGTTATAAGCGGCCCAGGGTGTCCACCTTCGACCACCACCAGCTTCGACTGTTGTACGATGGCTAGTAAGCTGAAAAATATCACCAAACGCTCAACATGGGAGCTCCAGCCCGAGCCATCAACGTTTGCACCCAGCAATAAATGGAGTAACAAGGGTACGTCACAATTTGCTCCATACGACGCAAACACCGACGCATTTTGCACATAGACATGGATCCTGTGCCAGTGCACATGAGAAGTAAGATACATTTGTACGTTAGATTCTCAGTCACCCATCACCATTCCCAGCGTGGACGAGGTGGGATTATACTTCGTACTGGCTTTCGGATGGATTCAATGTTGCAACTGTGAGTAGGCGCAAACGTACAGCCGAGATGATACACTGATTGGAAAGAAACACAGTGGAATATGGGTATGCTGAATGACAATAGCGTCGAGCCTTAGTAAGCTCAAATCTTGAAATTTAGCTTCGTCGATGTTGGCCGTTGGATTGTCTTGGAGGCAAGCACTCCCCGCTATCGCGATAGGTAAAACCTAGATTTGGTGATGAAATCCGGCCGGCTCTAACAAATCTCATTTTTATTAGGTCATTTTATCATCGCCCTTGCCGTAACGGTTAGTCCGGTTTGTCCAAGGATGCTACTTTGGGCTCACACATCGGTGACAGGCAAACGGTACAATTGGAGCAAGGCTTCACGTTCCGGTCTGTTGTTCAACAATTTAAAATGTCTGTTCTTAAACAGCGTTTCTCTTAGTTCCCGGTGCTAAATCGTAGCTCGTTCGGCTATTGGCTGTCATATTTCTCCGTAGTTAGCCGGTGCGTCTTACTTCCTCCTGGTCACTGTGCATGGATCTGAATATGTACATCCAGAGTGGTGTTGGCTATGTTCTGGTTTGCGATTCAATCGTAAGTACCATCATTTTCCAAACACACAGCAGACCCGATATATGTATGTGCCCAGTTATACCGGGTCTGAATGCGTTTACCAAATGCTGAAGGCAATTTGGCCTTCAACTGCGCGAATTCCCAACCATTTATCCCCGAATGCTAACATTACTACAGTTGGTGAGTTTAATTATCGTGTGCCCGTAGGCCGTTATTGCTGAATCGGGATTACACATAGGAATAATGTGCTACTTTCTCTACTGGCTCATTCAACTGCCCTTCCTCCTGGTCTCTCCGCACAAAATTCGGTATTTGTTCATTGCCAAAGCCATTTTAGCACCTGCGACTGGCCTTTCTATGATGATTTGGGCATTTGTTCGTACCGGGGGTGGCCCTATTTTCGCGCAGAAAGCAACCATTTCCGGATCTGCTTTGAGTTGGGGTAAGCTTTACATCCTCTGGAACCAGCCTTTCCTTGTAACCTACGTCTTGCTAGCGATGCTGTCGGCTATGAACTCGGCCATTGGAAACTATTCTGTATGTTCTACTGCCCGCTGGCGGGACCACAACTCCAACTGACCTTTTTCAGACGCTTTCCGTGAATATCCCGGATTTTACTGTACGTCCATCGTGACTTGGAATTACTTTTTGCACAGAACATTGAAACAATCTCCCGTAGCGCTATGCTCGCAGCCCGCGTGACCAGTACATCCAGGTCTTGATCATTCCTGGTTTGTCTTTTGCGTTTCGCCATAATAAGAACCAACTTGACTACACTACTCTAGTGATTTTTACCTTTTTTGCGTTTATGGGTATTGCCGGTGCGCTCTTCTCGGTGACTAAAACCCCCTCTATTGGTCTCAACCTTTAACCAGTTACCAGCGCTGGGAACGTTATTTACGGCGAAATTCTTTGGGATCCACTTACTCTGATTGATCGGTATGCTCTTTGTACAAGGATGTGTGTATGTGTGACTGACCTTCACCACATATAGCTGGGACAACCGTGCAGCTGCGTTCTTCGCATCTTTCGCCTTCTGCCTGGCGACTATCGGTACCAACGTCTCGGCCAATTCGATCAGCGCTGCCAATGATTTTACGGCTCTGCTCCCCAGGGTAACCTACAAATACCCAACAATCCACGCATATACTCACGCATGTATTTGTAGTGGCTCAACATCCGCCGTGGGCAAATCCTTTGTGCCTTCATTGGTGGATGGGTCATCTGCCCTTGGGAGATCCTAGGTCTGTAACTTTTGATGGTTCCTTCTGCTTTGATCTACAACCCACGAGCAGGGAGCGCCATTGGCTTCCTGAACTTCATGGGAGGCTACACCGTATTTTTGGGCCCGATCTGCAGCATTATGATCGTGGACGTAAGTGAATGAGATACTACGGTCGTCTCCCAGCTAATTTTATAGTGGCATAGTACTGGTTCATACACGAGGGCAAGATCGACGTCCCGGCACTATATAACTTTAATGGTCGGTACCGATACACTGCAGGAGTTGTGAGTTCCAGTGTTTCAAGTGCTTTTTAAGTTCACTTACACGTACCAACTCTACCCTTAGAACTGGAGAGCGTTGCTTGGTTTGATCGTCGCTGTGCCACCCAACTTGCCAGGTAAGGTGATTTTTGGTGCTCCGGAGCATTCCGCTCATAGCGGTGATCTGCAGGCCTGATTAACTCCATCAACCCTAAAATCTCTGTTGGTGCCGGGGCTCAGCATTTATACAGTATTGCGTGGCTGCTCGGGGTACGTGCGATCGACCCTAACTCCGTTCTGGTTTGGTTCGTTGGCTAACTGGCATACAGTTCTCCCTCGCTGGAGTGACCTATCTCATCGCGTCTAAGCTGTTCCCTCCCACAGAGACTATGCTCGACGAGCATATATCCGGAGACGATCG